TTTGTAATAAAGCTCAACAGAAGCACATAGTGCTGCTTATAAAAAACGCATTGTTTTATTTTTTATGTTATATACCCAAATAAGCACACGTTTTTCCTTTAATTTGCAAACACTTGATGAAGGGGTTAGCGATTACTCAACTGGTGTTCAAACCTATTTTCTGAAAAACATTATTTTTGTAAACTTTAAAGATTTATTCATTGTATGTCACTCTTCCAATTCTATTGGGATCTTTTGAACTATGTTGTGGAAACAAAGATCATCGACAGAATTCTTGTTAGGCATGTGATTAGTGAACCTTAGTAGAAAGTCTTCAATACTTCCAGAAGGAAACGTCGGACGGCATATAAGATACTTATGTACATTAAAGGTTCCCATGGCGAGCTGAGTCGATTTAGCCATGGCAGTCTGCCATACAAACTAACCGTTGAAGTCCTTATATGAAAAAACTTTTTATTTGACAAAATATCTTCACGAAATTTGGCATCGTTTATTGTCTAACAACCAAATCTATAATCTCCGAGCGCATTGTTCCTATCGAATCCGACTTGAATATTCTTTATATAAAACAACGTAAATATTTTAAATAAAAGCAAGTCCAGAGCTTTTAGTACACTTATTTATCCCTTTTTTCAAAATGTGTCACAAAAATAATCCTAATGAAATGTAAAATATAATATGTGAATATTTGAAGTGGTAAACATTTATATTTTTCACGCAGTCTGTGAAATCTCTAACACCACGCGCAGTGCTTGTCTTATAAGGTCATCATCATCTAATCGCCACAAGGCCTACAACACCTCATGGCGGTTGTTCACTACCTTCAATTATAAGAGCAAACATAGCAGAGCAATGCCTCTCATTATGACTCGAAATGCACCGAATGATCACAAACCAAACTTACGCATGGGTATTACGATGTTTTGCCGCCTCGGAGGCATGGTGGAGATCATTGCAATGAAGCGTTTACAACGAGAACCTCTACTCCACTTCTTTTGTGCTATTGAGTTGTTAAACTTCGAGATAAAAGACTGGTTTTAAAAACCAAAAACAAAAGAAACACATAAATAACTATTGTACATGACCTCGACACGAAAAGCTTCTGACGGACTTTAGCATAAAGCCAAAGAGATTACCACAGCATACATATGTAATTATCCGCCCGTCAGCTAATGTACATACATACATAAATATGTCGGTCCAAACATAAATACATACGTATGTATGGGTAAGTGGCAATGTAGTAGGCTGGTGCTGAGCTTTCGAAAAAGAAGTCATTGTCCATAACAAAGCAAAAAAAAAAAAACACCACAAAAACTGCAGCTTCGGTGAAGAGCGCGGTGAGCGAAATGAGAGTGCCAACATTAGAGAGAAAATGTACGAAAGAGAGAGAGTCTCATATAAAGTAATGTATGCCGAAATGCTCTTGCAATACTAGCTCTCTAAGCATTGGCAAAACGCAAGCGAAGCTTTATGCAAGTCTTGGTTGGAAAGCTAACGTACCGTGCCAGTCTTTGATTTTTCTGTTTAACCGTGTTTTCGTAAGGCTAACGCTGTTGCTGTGGCTCTTGCTGCTGCAAGTTGCGCCACAGTTTGGTAATAAGCGTACCACCTGAGCAGCGGTGGTAGTAGCAATAAGTGGTCATGTCTTGTCGCAACACAGCGCCGAAGCAATGAGCTTAGTCTTCGACGAGTTTGGCTCGAAAACGGTTGTCGACAGCGGTTCAATCTGAATTTATTACGCACACTATAGGTACTCCAGCAGAAGTACGTAACATTTTCGGGCGTTCACTATATGCGTGGAAACTAAAGGAAATTGTGAAATCTGCAACACATACACAGAAACCGCATACACGAATTATTGTGATTAATTTTTTTCATTCTTAAAAAACTTCACCTTGGAAAAAGAGACCGCCAGTACATTTCCACGGTTCGTACGCGTTCGTGATTTAGCTGTCGAAGTAAAATTACCCAGTGTTTGTTTCGCAATTCCTTTTTTTTTTTTTAATAAATAATTTTGATAAAATTATTATAGCTTTTGTGTGGACCAGCAATAATTGTTTAGCAAAAAAAGCAAATTAGAAAAATAAAAATAAAATCAGCTTGGATTGTTATTGTGAATTTGTGCGTAACACACATGTGTATTCTGTGTTACGATTTGGGCTAATTATCCATTTGCTGGCAAGTGGAGTTAGTAAACCTTGAATGCGCGCACGCACGAAGAAACGCGAACGAAAAACTATAACGCCCTTGAAATTTTAGACCAATTAAAAAAAAAAAAATCAGAACAAAAAACAAGCTGAAACAGTAAAATATTGGAACCTCCGCGTAATGTCCTTGCTGTTGTTAGGCTCCAAAAAAAAAAATTATTTGTTTTCCGCGAGTAAATCTTCACGACAACAGTTGTAAAACTAATAAGGATTATGCGACCCAATGCCAATAGCGGCTGTTGTACGCTAGAAAACGCTGCAAACACTGTGGCCCTACGGAGCTTGCCACCATATCCTTTAACACAGACTACCCATTTACACTCTCATCTACCTCCGCATCCGCATCAGCAACAAGCACAGCAACAACAAAATCTCCATCATCAGCAACAGCAGCAGCAGCAGCACCACCATCACAATCACCAGCAGCAGCAACAACATCGCTTTCACGCGCCGCCACATCTCATACAACAGCAACAAGCTTTCAAGTCGCCAGCTCCCAACCATTGGTTAACTCAACAAAGCCTGTACAATGCCACCGGACATCCCCCAACTGCGCACAAAAATATTGCAATTGGACGACATCAGGTCCTGCCATTGAGCCCAAGTCAGACCCAGCAGCAACTTCAGCTGCCACCAACAGCGTGCCCACACTCACACCCACAGCACCAATATCACCAGTACCTCAGTAGCCTGCAAACATTGCACCAGCAGTCCACACATGCCCCACACCATTTTAATGGTTATGCCTCTGCGAGTCAATCTCGCTCGGGTCCAACATCGGATCAGTCAAACTCTAACACTACTCCAACGGCATCAACGCATCCACACAATTTTAGCAAGCTATCCACTACGTCGGTGATAAATCCGCAGCGTATTCACGAATGTGCTGGCATACCGCTCATCTCCAACGCGAACCAACGGCAACGCGTTCAACGGAAACTATCACGTTCACCCGTGCCTCATCAAAAGCTGGCAACTGTTGGTGGCATCGAACAGACGTACAAATTGCACCATCCCACATTGTATATGACTCGTAACTCGAATGCTGCCAGTTGTTCGCAGATTTCCCAACTCGCTGCGCATGCTCAAGGTGTGCCCTTGCTGCTCCACAAACAACAACAGCAATTACAACAAAATTCGGCACAAAATTGGTCTATACCAAATAATGGATCCCATGCCGTTCCCCCCGCTCCATCTACAGGTAACGTAAAATCAAATGGTGACAAACTCACGCGCAGCACTCTTCGTTACCAACACTCTGCACCCGCCGCACTCAGTACACGTGGCAAGGAGAATTCCACGACGCCGGCGACAGAAGAGATACCAACTGCGTCTGAAACTCCCAAAGAAAACACCGACAGTGGAGAGACAGCACTACCGCGTATAATTAAACCACGTAAGCGGCGAAAGAAGGATCGCAAACCGGCAACTAACGGTATTTTCCTGAAATTAGATGCTATTTCAAGTGCTACAGCCGCAGCGGATAAGGAGTGTAAGTCGTCGCAAATGAGTGGATTAGGCATGTCACAGATGCTTTCCAGGCAGCACCAGCAATTACAACAAAAAACATATTTGAATCGGCCTGAAGACGTCAATGAAAACGCCTTCAGCCCTAAATTTATCAACTTTTACATTGGTCTCAATCAACCAATAAACACACAAGCTTTTACTTCAAACACGTCACAGCAGTACTGCAAGCCAAGAAGTCTGCTGAAATCTACTTGCTTAAAATCCAACAATTATCTGAACGACGTCAAAATTACAAAATCTGACGACACACCAGATGAGCATGGCATTTGTTTCTGCAGTGGCTGTGATCCGCTACGTTCGATTTGGGACTATCCGCTGAGGCGCTCTCTCTCCGACTCGTCAACCGCATCGGCACGCACACATTCCTCGTCATCCACATCTTCCTCATCATCGGCGTCGCCTTCACGTGTTTCCTCTGCGGAGGCGTCATCGTCTTGCTGTTCGTCACAGCCGTTAATAGACGGCACCATGTCGCCTGCAGCCGCACTTTCGCGTGCAGATCGCGTGGGTGTTATTGGCTCCAATCGCAATGTGCCCGATAACAATCGGGATGCTACGAAGCTCACCGATACGTCATGTAACGTACTCGGCGGCAAAACTGCTACGAATGGCTGCCTGAGTGATTCGAATGACTCGGGTTACGGTGACATACTGAGTGGCATCAATATTGCTGATGATTTCTTCAGTCAGAGTGCAATACAACAAACATCTGCCGTACTAGCGCCACTTTTTGAAGCCACTAACATGGGCTTGAGCGCAAGACCAACGTCGCCCAATCGTTCGCTCCAAGCTGGTAGCGTCACACTACCGCCCTTACTGCCTGCAACCGCCGATGCTTTGCTAACTGAGAGTATTAACGAGATTTCACGCAAACTCATCGAAACTTGCGGCAGCGAGCTGTCTAACGAACTGACAGTGGATGCGGCGACGCGTTCAACGAGCGCCTATTCACGCTGCAGCAGTGATTTCTCCACGGATAGCGGCATCGATAGTGCTGCCATTGTGAATTGTGACGAGTTGGTCTTCAAGTTTGACAATTTGAATTTTATGATCGATCCAATTGCGAAATGTTCCATAAATGACGACAACAACAACACTACTAACAGTGTTAATAAAAATGTAATTGCAGCAAACATTGGATCGGTAATGGTAACAACAGCACCAACAACAACCTCGGCAACCAGCAACGATGAACGGTTTATTCTGAATGCAGCAAATATGAATCTCCTCTTCGATGTTAATAATAACAACAATAATATAAGCATCTTCGAGTTTGAAAGCGAAAACGAGCGACAACAGTACAAAAATCAACAATCATTAAACGAAAAACAACAACAACAACACAATCAACAATTCATCAATAATTGTTTTGATTTAGTGTGGCCGACAACATTTGAACGATGCATACGAGAGACGGCAACAAAAATACTAGATTTGGATGTGAATAAGCAATTAAGCGCATTATCTTTCACAGAGATCGCTTAGATGCTGTTTAGCTGTGTAAATCGTTTAATTAATTCATTATTTTTCGCGCATAATAAAGATAAGAAGTTTAAATACGGAAGCCAAAAGTGATATGTTGCAAGAGTTCATAACTTCCTCAAGAAGTGGGATAATAAGTTCCTGCCAATTATTCAAAATCATTTATAGTGAATAACAGTTCCCTTCCTCTGAATGCGATCAATCACTAACACAAACGTGCACTAAAGACAAATCAAACACCTCAATTTCGTTTGGATTCGCTTCAAACGGATCCGGCCCATTGGCAGTGGATTACGCAACATCATTATTGACCGAGTGAAAACTATTGCGTGGCTTAAGGGCCTGCCAGAGGTCGGCAACGCAACAAGCGGCCAACAAAACTAAGCGATATACACAAACAAAGAATTGTGAAAAAAATAACAATGCGATGAAAGCGAATTGTCTTAACAAAAACCAACACACAAGCTCACGCTCAAAGAGCAAAAAAATACACAGCTGGATTTGGTGTATCGTCTTTGCATATTTTTCTTACAATTTCGAGATCGTTTTTTCCTGTTTCCGCTTGTGTTGTTGGTCGAATCAGAGAAACAAAAAAAAAGAACAGACGGCAACAACAATGTTGGTTACAAAACCAGCCGGTGTTGCTGCAAAAGCGGCTGCGGCACAAGCTTAACACCGCCGCGACAAAAGCGTCCAGCGCATTAGTGAAACAGCGAAGACGAAAAATGAACAAATGAAATAATGATAATATAACACATAAAAATATTTACATATATATAAAAAAAAACGAAATTACAAAGCAACTAATGCGCATATTGTATGTAATAACACAAACAAAAACAATAGCAAAAACACTGCTAAAGAGAAAAGCACAAACAAACATATCTATAATTGCGGCTAAAAGGTGTATAAGGCACCCGAGCGATCGGGCACTACAGTCGGCCGCAACCATAACCCGACAACACCAATAGCAAAAGTAAAATACAAAAGCAAAAACCAAAACAACAATAAAAGATAAAAACAAACAATTGAAATCCAAACAGTCAAGCCAGACTGACTTGGCTGTAGGCCGTAACAGAAAGGCAGAGCAAAGCTGAAACTTTCACTTTCTCTGCACTCACTAAACCACAACAGCTACAACAGATCAGCTGCGCGCACAAACCACCGGGCGAACGTACGAATGTCCGTACATCCGTCCGTCCGCTCAAGCAAGCAGCTATTGCACCGTGGCGTCACGACATGCAAATTTATGAACCAAGCTCTAAGCTAGACGACGTGCAGCACCAACTTGAGCACTCCATGCAGTTGAATGGAGTTATGTGGCATGCCATGGCTTGACATGCAAACGCTTATGGCCACGAGTGACTGGCGAACGTCGCGTAATTAGACATTGTGTACGTTTTATTGTGTATTTGATTCTGTGTTTGCTGGTTGGTGTCTCTCTGTGGCTGTGAACCTTTCTAGTGGGTGTGCTGCAGTGATCGCGAATTAGAGATTCGTCTGCACACTTGCTTGGTGGCCAACCACTGAGGAGACTTCAAAGTTGATGCAAACCTTAAAAGGTTCTACAACGTAGGCCTCGACTTTTACACATACATACATACCCATTAAGTTTTATATATTCATATTTGTATGTTCTTAACTTTTGTATTTATTGCATCTTTAGAAATCGTAAATTTTAACTGTTATTTCTTCAACATTGTTATTTGTGCATAAAGCGTCACACACACGGCAATTTGAGAAGTTGGTTAAGGTTTAGATTTAAGTATAAAAATTATAAAAGAAAGTTAAATATATATTATATAACGTGTTTATATGCATACGGGTAGTTTAGTATTCATAATTCCATCATAAACATATTTCGAAGAAAGTATTTTTAAAGTTATCAATCACTGCCGTAATTAGTATATCACATTTTATAAAGTTACAATTTTTGCTAAGTGCATAGAATACATTTTCTATTTTAGCTTAAGTCTATGCGCATAGTGCAGCGAATGTTGCGGTTAGTCGCAAATTTGTTTGGTTAAACTTAGCGGAGCGTACAAAAGTATTAGTGAAAGCAAGAAGCAGAAAAAGTTGCAAAGCTTTAGTTAGCATGCGTGGTCGTATTACATAATATACTTTCACTACTTTGTGGTTTACCCTTAACGCCGCTTTGCATTTTTTCTTTTTACTATATGCTTAGCCTAAATAAGCTTAAGCGGTTAGGTCTAATTTTTGAAATAATGAAACATATAATTGCTTAACTTAGAAGTATAGTAGGTTTGTGACTACAGTGTGGTTATAAAATGATATGCGTGAGATATCGCCCTACACTTCCTATAAGTTGTCCCAAAGCAATTTAGTCTGTATATCTGTGGTTTCGTTAATAACGTATTAAAAGTTCGCAATTGTTTTCTATATTTTTCTCTAAAACTTACATAACGTGTCATGGAGCCTCTATACTTTTTGGATGAACATATGAAAACTTCATTAGCTTTCATTAGCTTCAACTTATAATACCAAATATTTTTCAGTTTCCTTACTATAACACATACATATATATTTATATGTAGGCCACAAGACATAACCTATAAAGCACTTAATTCAGGGTAGTAAATTTAGTCGAAATGCAAACGTTTAAAGCAACAAACGCTGATTCAACATACTAAAATCAAGACTAAAGCGTTTTCTTCAAAATTTAAAGAAGTAAAAAAAAATAAAAATTGAGCTGTTCTACCACACCACCCACCAAGCGTATCAAATAAAAAACCCTAAATTGCCAAATAGAAACTAACGCTATTAGTTAGCGCACAGCTTAACAAGGTTAATCTTTTCGCAACTTTTCGTTTCACCGAGAGTAGTTAAAAAACTCCAGTCCTTCATACAATCTCCGCTTTTTAATTTATTTAAGTAAAATTTCCCACATAATTTATGTTTATTTCTTTTTTCTTACCCTGCCTTTGCAATAATATAATTTTTTCGTACATTTTCCCTTCCTTTCACAATGGCTGCTTGCCGAGTACTTATTAATAATAAATAATAAGAGCGCTGGCTAGAGAAACTGCCTAGTTTTCCAAGTTAAATACTGCATCCGCCGCTTTGGTGAAAATGAATGTTGTTTATTGCAGCAACTTCAGCTCTGCTGGTTTTTGTTGTGCGCGTGCGTGTATGTATGTATGTGATAGTGTTGATTGCGCCTTGCGCTCCATCAACGGGTCCAATCTGCATTTGCACCATCACCAAGCGCAGTTATTGTCTTTATGAATTAAAAAAAAAACGAACACACCATATACCCATCTTACAGTTACTGCGACACAATACAGGTGAAACAAAGCCGAGATTTCTATTTTATTCAATATCAATAGACCAAAACAGCAGAGTATGCAGCGAATTAGTGAAACCGACCGACTGACTATACAGCACGCATCCGCGCTTTTGTCTCGGCGCCATCCACTTTTACAGTTATTAGTTGGTAGTTGGTGAATTAAACAAAGCAACAGCCAGCAACTCATCTCAGACTTGGGTGAAGATCCGCGAAATCGACTGCTAACTTATGAGCTCCTGCATGCATATGCTTGTGTGTGCGAATCATTTGATATTTTCTTTGCAAAAAAAAATTTTGGTAAAAATGTCACAACTTGAGTTGTAGATGCTGATTGCTTTCTTTGTTGGATAATAATTTTAGTATTTTTAGCGTTAACTCAACGAATTGAAAATATGTACTGGAAATATTTGATTTCACACATTCATTACAAAGTTTATCAACTTCCACTTTCAATATTTTATCATACATTAAAAAAAAAACATTTTTTATGCTAATTTGTAAAAAAAAAAATCATAAATTACTCAAGTAGTGGTTAATTTGGGTTACAAAATATTTGTTTTAAAGTTAGATTGTTTACGATGGGTTAATCATTTTTTTCTACTCGCTTACTTAATAATTTAGAATGGGTTTTTAGTTTCATGTTTGTATTAGGTTTATAGAAAATTTGTATGTCTTCAAGAAGACTGTTAATTTATTATAAAACTCAATAATTCCCTTGTTCTCGTTATTTTAAATAATTCATGAAAATTTATTAGTTTTTTAATATTAACGTAAGTCGGAGTATTTTTTAATTTAGATTGATCTCTTACGTAAAATTTTATTTAAATAAACATATATGTATGTACATATGTACATACATTCTTACAAGCAATATTTAAATATGAAGTTATAATGGTCCTATGGAGCGGGGTTTACTAAAAGGGCGTGGGATTATCTAAGTTTTCTTCGAATAATTATTTAATTCTACTCATATTATACTTTGTCCAAAACCTTGAACTTGAACTCGCACAACTTTATTTTTTAGTTTTTAAACGTTCTCTGCCAAAATTTCTAACACGGTTATATTAAAAATAGAATTCTCTTAAAAGAATATCGGTACTTTCATGAATTTTTGCTTAGATTCGATTCAAAGCAGCTGTTTTGTCAAATTTCCACAATTATTATATTTTTTATGTAATATTTGTATGTATAAGTATTCATAATAGCAAGATTATTTTGTAAACCAACATATGTACCTAGTAGGTGGTCTTTATTGCCAATTACTTTGCCCAAAAATAAATCATAGCGGTTAATAATTACAAATGTAAGATATCCAGTGAATTTGTGCACAAATAACAAGTATACAAAGTATTTATTAAAATATCATATTTATTTTCTTCTTAATTATGACCCATTGTTCAACTATTCAAAGACCCAATAAATATTAGTTGGGCAATCAAGCCGATTCTTTTTAATTAAGAATAAATGCTCTTGTTATATACCATAATTTGACAATTGTACAAACTCATATTTGGTTACAAGTAAACTTAAATCTATTTTTAGTTTTAGCCTATACGATATATGATATTTATTATTGAAACAAATAAAATGCATTGTTATAAACAATTGTCGTTAACAAAATAGTTGTGCTCGTTTATTTTTAATTTTTGTATATCTCACTTTACAGTTACTCTTTGTGCTCCCGTACGCATGTACTATGTCTATGATGCATGCTAGCTAATTTTCCCCGAAAGTTGTTAGTTTTTTTCTGCCAATTTTGTTTTTAGAAATCTCCACAGTTTTGACAGACCAAGTTCTCGTTGGAGTGTGAACGCGTAAAAAAATAAATAAAGTTTGTTAAAGCTCTTGTATGATGTATTTGTGAACTGAACAATAGTTTTGTTTGTCAACTATACTATATTTATCCAAACTTTTTATCTTATAAATTATGTTTACCTATCTGGCGGAAAGTTCATGGACCATTAACAAAAGCCGAAAAAAGCAATATAGGTGCCTCTACACCTATATTGACCAACGACATACATATTTATCTTATAATGTATCTTGTTTTTAAACATACAATTTGTAAGGTATTTAGTTTATAGAGTTCCGATCTAAAGACTTTGTTCGGAAATTTTAGCGTTATCTGGGACAATAATCTATGTCAAATTTCAATAAGTTAACTTGAATATATCGATTAGTTTGTACGGCTATATCCTATGGTGGTTCGATAACGGCGGTTTCTACAAATGAGCAGCAGCTTGGGGAGATAATTAGTGTACAAAATTTCAGATCGATACCTCAAAAACTAAGTGACTAATTCTCATATATACATGACTAAATCGACTATATGATCAGAAAGTAGTAAGACTTTGTTCATAAATTTAAAATTCTTAAATTATTCTTCAAAATCTATGGGGACGACATAGTATCAATGTAATTCCCCTTGTCCTCAATACCCTTGTGCCAATGTTTATTCCAATCCTCGAAACTTTAACAAATGTCAATTTCCGGAAAAGCCTTCAATACGCGTAGCGCTTCAAGTTTCAATTGACTTAAAACGGTTTCCCCGGAGTGATCATTTGAGTTTGCTGAATAGCCAGAAGTCACACGGAGCTAAATCAGGCGATTAAGAAAACCGTCAACATAATCTTGACTTTTGACCTGCTTTGTCGTGGTTTTTTGGTTCGACTCACTTTAGCCGATTGATTGTCTGTTTCCGGGTCGCAAACATAGATCTGTGACTAATCGTCAGTAATAATACGTTTCATTATATCCTGGAAATCGGAAAGCATTGTTTCACAGACGTTAACATGACGCTGTTTTTCGAAAAAAAGTGATTTTATAACCAAGATGCTTTCACTATTCTTAGGCTAAAATGATTTTTCGAAATGGTCTGCACAGATTCTTCCGATATTCCAACAGTGCTAGTAAAATCTCTGACAGTTAATCATCGATTCTCAATCACAAATTCTTTTCTTTTTCACTCATCGTAAAAATCGCGGAATTCACTTTATGTGCTTCAGATAGACAAGGATATACTAAATACGAATGACCATTTTGATGTGACATTTGACTCAAATGCCACTGACAGCAATACCAATCAAGGAAAAAAAATTTTGACAAATGGGGTTTCGCGCGAAATTTAAATTAAAAAGCCTTACTATTTTTTGCGAACAATAGTATGTAGTCTATGTATGTATGTGCTTTGACACATTTTTTAATAACCTTAAAATAGTGTGACATTTTTCTTCAAACTATTAGAACGTTCCGCTTCATAGCTTCATAGGGAAATGGAGAATAAAACTTAAAAAAAAAATAAAATATCTAAATAAATTACTTTTCATTCTGCAATCTTGTCTGAAATGCATGAGATCTAGAGCATTCACATCGTTTAAATGAATGAAATATCAATAAAAAACGTGATTTTCGCTTTCCGAGATGTTAAATTATAAATGCCGTCAATTTTTGTGTTCGCTACTTTTCTTATTATTTTTTTCATGGTATCTAAGACTTTCTATGGCCCACCCCATGCGGCTGCGCAGTAGGTTGGGAAAAAGTTACGGTAACTGTGACCTCAACTGCGGCAACTATAATTTGCCATGACTGTCAATTAATTTTTAGCACACTTTGCGAGAAGAGCACCATTTAGTTGAGAGATCGCAAAACTAATTAACATATTTAACTTCATACATATTCTTTATCTAGCACATTTGGCTATCATATACATATTTACATGTCTAATTGGTTTTTGGTGCCAGGTTAAGTTAATACAAAGCTGGGCATTATTTGAGGGTCGTGCCTAATTTTAAAATATCTTAAAAATAATTTTTTACACCAAAATTGCGTGCTAATTTTGTAGTCATCAACAAGCTAATTTCTTAACGCTACCTCCTCTTCGCCACTATTTATGTTCTTCAGCACGTTTGTGTATTCTTTCGCTGTGGTTTTACAGTCGAAATTATTTTATTATTAGCCATTGTTATTTAAATATCCGACTAAACGTCTATTAGCGCTTTCAACACTCTGCTGCGTTTGGCCTTTTATGGACGAAAAACAACAGACAACCACTTCGCTACAAACAGTGAAGGCAACGATTTGCTTCACCTTCATTGTCTTGCACTCAAAACACTTTATTGCTAGCAATTAGTAGCAGCACAAGACGCTTACTAAAAAGCGAACAGTGGTCTGCAGCCGAAACCCAGTAGGAAAAAGTCAGATGACTTAGTAAGCTAAGTTATACTGACCCTTCGATTTAGGCATGTGACTTAGAATGACCAGGCATCATCATATCAAGTAATGTCTGTGAAAACTAATTAGTTGTCTGTCACTCGAATTTGTTTGAATTCCGGTCGACTATTTAATAATGATGTTTTTTGAAAAATTTACACTACTCTGAAGCATAAAAAATTTCAATTGAATTTTCTTTTTCAATCAAACCGTGATAAATATATCTAAGATTGTAATGTGATAATTTCAAGTCAAACCGTTTCGGGGAAATTTTCTATACCGACTTTGAAAAGCGTCAAAAAAATTTAGTTTGGATTTCAATAATCAAATATCTGCTACTAAATGCTCCACTATCTTCAAGATTTATTTTATTTTTCCAAAAAATTCATTCAAATACTTGATTCAGTAGAAGATGATCATTACCTTGTAGCCACTTTCGCAGGAAAAAAATTGCATTAATGGGAATATATGTATATTACCCAGCATTATCTCGTAAATTTTCCGACTTGGTTTGATATAAAACGCCGTATATATAGAAAAATACGTGTATATACCAAGTAATTTTCACAAACACTACAACAGTTCTATAAAGCGGTTTCTATTTCGCCCGTCTTAGGGCTTTGCACTCTTGTGTAAGTGAAGTGAAGAGTGGGTCAGTAGACAATTGGGTCATTTGCCCCTGCATACCTGGGCATGCATGTGTTGCGACTAGTACACAACTTCGAAGTAGCGTCCGTCATTTAGTCGATTCTCTTAGTTACATTTTTCATTTCAGCAAAAAATTGCTATTTTGCTGGTGTGTGTCCGCTCATAAACTAGCTGCCGGCAACGATTACGAGTGTTCTACAACTTCGCATTTAACAATGTGCTCTCCATATTTCCATTTCATCATCACGGTTGAATAGAATGTGCAATTCTATGTTTGGAACGCAGACGCTGCTTGCTTACTTTCCGGTCCGCTGTTTGTTTTGCCGGCAGTTTCGCTCGTTAGAGCGACTTCACAAGCTGTTGAATGCTTTGCTGATTTGCTGACTCGTTTTCTTCACTTTGCTCAGGCTTCACGTGCCGTCGGCGATGCGCGTTGCATTACAATGAAGTTTTTCCCAACTTGGCCATTGAAATAGAAATTTGCGTGTAATAAATTTTATTTTATTTGCTGCTTTGTCCATTTTTATTATGCTCGCTTCATTCTTTTGTCTTAGCTACCACGTTCCGCGTGTGTATACATTTTCGTTTTTTTTTTAATATATATTTTCAACCATTTGCAATTATCGGTTCTTGTCGCTCCCCAGTTATGTTAAAT